ACCTCCAACTCTGTTATTCTGCTGTTCTGTTGAAATCTTTGCTCAAAAGTTGACCTTAAAATCAGTCAAAACAAAACTCCCATCACCATTTATCCTGTTCCCCAAAAATAAGACCCAACCAGAAAATAAGTCCTAGCATGATTTTTCAGGGTGCTCGTAATATAAGCCCTACCCCCCACAATAAGCCGTAGTTAAGATTGTCAGCCAGGTGGATGCATTTAGTACAGCATTCCCCCCAAAATAAGACCTAACCAGAAAATAAGCCCTAATGTGTCTTTTGGAGCAAAAATTAATATAAGACCCGCTCTTATTTTTGGGGAAACATGGTAATAGATGTAATTTAGACAAGGAAAATCTAGTCTTTTTCCCAGAAAAAAAAGTTTATTATCTTATCAATCAGTTGTAACAGTATTAAAATAAGAAGGCCTCTGAGTTAATATCTCAGTCTTGAACATTTATTTTTATGGTATTTATAGTGTCTTTCCTCATAATCTCAGTAAGACTTTTAGACATCTGTTTACATCAATATTAAGGTAAACAGTTTGATATATTTGCATCCATAAATGAAAAATGCAATGGGAAATATATGAGAGACAGTCCATTTATTTGAATACTGTGATACTTTACTAAACTGTTGCACATTGAGTAAAAGGAGGACAAACAACTGGCTAAATATAATTCTACAGCAATGATTATTTTAATTACTCAGATATTAAATATACAACCCCAAAAGCTACTTAAGGAGACATTTGCTTTCTTCTAAATTTCATAAGGCCTTCCTTTCCCACGCTTCCCTGTTACTGAACTATTTCTTGAAAATATTTGAAGAATCTACTGTACTTCCCAATGGTTTAGTGCTAGTAAGAGATTTAAGCTAAAAAATATTGAAGTAGAAGACCCTTCTTTTTCTCACACATATTTTATTCCAAAATTCATACAGCCTGTTATAATGAAAAAATCTTGAGTATTTTGTCATATATTAGCCAACCACAGATAACCACTTGTTATCCATAGCAGTGTTCCAATATTTAAGGGGCTGCCACAAAGAAGAGGGAGCCAACTTATTCAATGAGTTACATATCCCATATTTAGGCAATATTTATCTGAAATCAACTTGAACCTCAAAAAGGACAGCTAGTAAATTTGATAATAATAATAGTGGTAGTGTCAGCGTCCCAGCACTGACATATATAAGGAGAGGAGAAGCTTGAACTTTTGCCTACTTAAGTCCTTTGAAGATTCTGTCTCCTCGGAGATGGGAGGGGGAGACATTCTTGTGATCTGACGGAGAAGGGATGAGGAAAGTGGCTTGGAAGATAGCCAATGAGATGCAGAGAATTGGGGATCGGAAAGGGAGGGATTGGGGGGTAAAGATCAGTACTGACCGCGAAAGAGCCAGGGACATATCACTATGCTCAATAAAGAGAAAATTTCCTCAAAGATCGGCAGTTTGGAAATTCGTTTATTTTGAGATAGCATCAAAACCTGACAGGTAGGTGATTTGGGTGCAATTCCAAAACAACTGGAGCATCACTTGAACACCTTTGGCATTGACAACATCCCCATCAGTCAATTGCAAAAGGCAGCTTTATTCAAAACAGCAATGTCTTTTAACACCACCAAACATCCATATCTGCCTATCCTTGGGAAGGACTCAATAGGTGGGCAAAAATGCCTACTCAAGTCTAAACATCTGGCTGACTGTGTGACAAACCATAGTAAGGGTAGTAATAAGCGCCTTAGATACAATTCCTAAACCTCTGGAATACCCTTTAAACACCCTTTGAACATCCTTTTAACATCCTTGACATTGACATTGTTTTCATTGTTCTCATCAGTCATTGACAAGTTCTCATCAGTCAATTACAAAAGGGAGATGGAACAGTTGACATCCTGCAGCGATACATTTAACACCCTCAAACATCCACATCTGTTTATCTCAAATCCTGAACGACTGGGTAGGTGGACAAAAATGCCAAATCCAGTCTGAACATCTGGCTGACTATGGGCAAACTATAATAATTATAATCATTAGTCTCCTCCCCTGAATGTGATTGTGGTGAGCTTCGTGGGATACTGGATCGTAGAGTGACTAGCTGCCGTTTGAAAGCTTATACAGGAGGAAAAGAAGATTTTTCTCCAACTAAAAAAACACTGCTCTTAATTGGATAAATGGCCTAGATATTTGTAGAACACTAATTTTATTTTTATGAAGCAGGGTATTTCAAAATGTAAGCTATAACTTCAGAGGCGGGATTGACATAATTTACCTACTGGTTCTCCCAGCACCAAAAATGTGAGCGCCCCCCCCAACCCCGCATGCACATGGCGTTCCGCGCATGTACTTTTCTCGCACGTGCGTCTTGCACACATGCATGCGGCTTGAAAACGTGGCTAAAGGTCACTGCTACCAATTCGCCCAAACCGGCTGAATACCACCTCTGTATAACTTATATACAATGTTTTGAATCCCTCAAAATTGACTACATATTTCCATCATACGTGTACTATACTATAATGTGCTCCTTTTATATATTTTTACTACTGTTATTCATCTACTCTATTCCAGGGGTCCCCAACACCCCCCGCCCCGTCTGTGACCCACTTTTGAGCCATGAACCATTTGGAACCAAGCCATGGAAGTGGCAGATGAGTGTGCATGCCCGCGCACCCTACTTGCACAAACAGTGGGTAAGCACGTGCGGGCACACTCCATTCGCACCAGTGGTGGGTGTGCAGGCCCGCTACTCGTGCAAATGGAGCTGCACACATGGGCGTGCCAGCCACTTGGGGAACTATGCTCTGTGCCAGGGCTGTCAAAGTCCCAACCCGTGGGCTGGATGTGTCACGAGCTGGCCACGTTCATGCCCAGTTTAGCAAAGGGGGGAAAAGTCCTGATACATCATGTGACACCACCGTGATGACGTGAGTTTGACACTCCTACTCTATGCTATCAGCTATATCAGGGGTGTCAAACTCAAGGCCCAGGAGCCGGAGCCGGCCCGCAGGGTGCTTAGATCTGGCCTGCAGGGCCTCCCTGGAAACAGTGAAGGACCGGCCCACGGTGCCTCTGCCAGTGAAAATGGAGCTCGGGAGGGCTGCGTGCGGCCCTCCCGAGCTCCATTTTCACTGGTAGAGGGTTGCAGGAGGCTAAGTGAAATCAAGTTTGACACCCCTGTGCTGAATGAATCAATAAAATTATATTTTGTCAGTCTGAACTTTTTCAGATCTACAATAAAGCATTTATTATTTGTGTAAACTCACTCAAGGAAATCATTTGGGAAGGGTCAGGTTATTTTAAAAGGTCAGAGATGTCACTTGGAGTTCATTACCTTTAGAAAAAAATTAATTTATTACTAAATTGAAATGCCATCCATCCCCCAATCCCAGGCTTTGCAAATGGTAAAGCTTTAAAGATATAGAACAGGAGTGGGTTCTACTTACCTTTACTACTGGTTTGCAATGGGAGCGTGTGCGTGCGCTTAGTTCGCTTGCATGTGTGCCAAGCTTCTGCACATGCGCAGATCACCTATGATGACATCCGGGGCAGTGGGCGGAGTCTCCCACTGGTTTTACTACCAGTTCTTGCGAACCGGTCCGAACCGGGGGCAACCCACCACTGATATAGACGGCATAAATGCCATGGAACTCACTAAAATTCCTCTGGGTAAATGTTTGTATATCACTCATTTCTTCTTTATCAGCAAGATCAATAACTTCTAAATACAGATTTGATCTATCTCAGAAGCCATCTTGCTGTAGGCTCACCAATGTGATATCGCATGATTCCACACAGTGACGGGATTCAGTCGGTTCGGGCCAATTCGGGCGAACCAGGAGTTAAATTCCTGGCTGGCTCTACCCCTTCCCACCCAGCTGCTTCCAGGTGTCCCCAAACACCCCATTTTGGCTCCCAGGTAAGTGCAGAGAGGCCTCCTAGTCTCAAAACAGGCCACCAGGTTTGTTCTGAAACACAAATAAGGACTATCTCATAATTGCTGCTTTAGAAATCAGTACTTAATTAAAATAACACGGATGGTTAAATAGGTCGCCGTTTCATCATGTTTTTTTTTTAACACTCCAGGAAGTTTATTTATTTTATTTATTTTTCTTATACTTATATGCCGCCCTTCTCCCGAAGGACTCGGGGCGGCTCACAGAAATTAAAATGATAAAAACAGTAAAAATAGCTACTAAAATAATCAATTAAAATCTCCCAATTAAAAATCACCAATCAGATCAGCAAATTTGTTGAAAAAGCCATGTCTTCAGGTCACGGCGGAAAGAGCGGAGGTCGGGGGCCGTCCGGAGCCCCATGGGTAACCCATTCCAGAGGGTTGGTGCGCCCACAGAGAACGCCCTGATCCTGGGCGTTAATCCTCTTTTGAATCAAGAGCAACTCAACTATTTTATGAACGCATCTAGAGTTTTCTCGATAACAATATGCCATTGTTTTATTCAGAGATTTTTTTCAACCTCCCAGTCTAGCCAACAGCCCTGAGATTTCCATTTGTATAGCAGCCAGCCTGAATCCTATTTTTTTTAAATGCAGAGAATGTTGGTTAGATGTTGCCTTCAAGTTGTCTTAGGACAATAAATGTCATATTTTCTTTCAATAATTTTTTAAAAAGGCTTTCATTTGTGCATCATCGCCATTATTTCTATTATCTTTTCTAGATATATCTTAAGGATCTCATCTGGTTTATGAATCACTCTCTTCCCCAGAGTATTTTGGAGATTGTAGGTTGGACGCAACACTGCATTTCTCTCATATATATCTTTTGAATAACATTTTAATTTATTTATTGGGAGAAGCCATAAAACCGATATATTATGGATTCAAACATTACGCTAATAGATAAATAGCCAATTGGGGAAATGATCCAGAACTGATTTCCCATAATGAAGTACTTTTTTGGTAATATTTTTTTACAATTATAGTTTTAGAATTATATTTGTAAAAGTAGTACACATTTTTACAATTTCAGAGAGTTATTCACCTAAGGATGCCCTCTTTGATCTTAATACATTTGCAAAAGTCAATGGGAAGTAAAATAAGCAGGTTGAACATCATAATAACAGCACATCAACATCTTTTCTAAGCAGAAAAAAAAATGCCTTTAATTGTTTGGTATTGATACTGCAGAATGATTGACATCGAGAAGATATTGACCAGCGACCAACTCAGGTATTTTAGAGAAGGAAGTTGAGAAGATGAATGGAAAAAAATGGTCTTGTACAGAATACATTTTCCTTTTAAATTCACCCCACGTTCCCATTTAAGGTTGAAAATCTTTCACCAATTTAATAGACCATCAGCAAAATATCCGGGTCTCTCGGGAGCCTTTTCTTCATTTTCTAAAGCAAAGAAGAAAGAGTGATTATGAGGAGCACCCTCACAAATCCAAGATTGGTTGCACAATCTTAATGATGGTTACCCCATCATTAACATTATCTGCATGTGACTTCATTGATAAAATAGATTTAAATCTTGCATTTTCTCTCTCTCTTTTTTTAATATATAATTTTTATTAATATTTTCTATACACCAATACACAAATAAAATATACAATCCTGCCACCATGGTATAATATGATTACATTGTCCATAAGTATAAAGTCATTCCTTTATGCATACATATTTGCCATCATATATATACATCATCATATATCTATTCTATCCCACCTTTTCTGGACCCAATCGTACCATACTTTCCAACTGTTATAAAATTCTGAATCTTTTTTTACCATTGATCAATCTAGTTAATCTATCTGATTCCGCACACTCGTTAATTTTATATATTATTTTCAAATCTATCGGTAAGTATTGATTTTTCCACTCCTGCGCATACGCTAATCTTGCTGCAGTGATAATGTGAATCAACAAGAACCATATATCTGATTTAACATTCAAAGGTTTTGCCCCCAATAGGAAAATCTCAGGTCTTAATTCCAAATTAATCTGTGTAATTTCCAAAATCCATTGCCGTATTTTTTTCCAATATTTAACCGCCTGCGGGCAGGTCCACCATTGGTGAAAATAGGTTCCATTACTGTAACCGCACTTCCAACAACAGGCAGATGTCCCGGGAAACATTTTAGCTAATCTCGCCGGGGGGAGATGCCATCGGTATAACATTTTATATATGTTTTCTTTATATGAGGAGGCCATGGTTAATTTCATATTTTTCAACCAAATCTGTTCCCATTGCTGGAAGTCAAGGGGATATCCAAAATTTCGCCCCCATGCTATCATACAATCTTGCGTTTTCTCCAAGCCCTCAAAGTGAGCTTGTACAGGCAATCCTCAACTTACTGTCAGGCTTGGAAGCCATCTTTTTCATTGGCTCTTCAGGCCTGCCACATTTACTACTGTGGGAAACTGGGAGAGCGGATTGTATAGAGCCAGGATGATATATAGTCATAATAACATTCCTTTCTCAGAGAGTCAAGCAGGGGTGGGATTCAGCTGGCTCGGACCGGTTCAGGCGCACAGGATGCTAATTTTACATCTGGTTCGCCGAACCGGTAGTTACAAGGACTGGCTGGCCCCTCCCCTCCCAGGAGTCTCCACATGGCCCATTTTGGATGCCAGGTAAGTGCAGGGCCTGCGCGGAGGCTCTGGGTGGGCGGAGCCTCCCACCGCCGCTACTACCGGTTCACCCAAAGCGGGGCGAACTGGTAGCAACCCACCACTGGATCTGGCCCTCGAAGAAATCCAGTTTGATACCCCTGAACGAGAAGATCTCTAAGGTCCCTTCCAACTCTGTTATTCTGTTAATTCCTTCACTTAAAAGTATTAAAATTCAAATGATCCTAGTAACCAAACAAAAGACCAATGGGCTTAATAAATGCTCTTCAAAAACTAAAATGAAGCCACCCTTTGTTGCATTTACAGGAACTTTTGAAACTTTCACCTTCGTTTTGCATCTTCTGCAGGGAGGAAAGAAACATCAGTGCGTCTTCAGAAAGGGTTAAAGGGTTCACATTTTGATTGCTGGGTTCTGCAAAGAAAAAAAAATCACAACATATGAATAAGAGAAAAACAGAATAACAGAGTTGGAAGGGGCCTTGGAGGTCTTCTAGTCCAACCCCCTGCTCAGGCAGGAAACCTGTTCTGTCCCCGTCCCACACACGCACCCCCACAGACGGCCCAGAGTTAATAAGCCACACGACAAAGTCTTTGACGATAAAGCTGGCAGCAACCCAGTGGCTAGCTGCCAATTCAGACTTTACTCACACAAAACAAAGATTAGACTGCAAGCATTCTGATAAAGCAGGCAAAGTTTCAGCAATACAAGGATTAGTCCAAATGCAGTCCGACAAGGCAGGCAGAAGTCCAGTAACACAGAGATCATGGATTATTTCTAGTTTTTGCTCGTCACAAACTGAACCGGCCACCACACCCACATTTATACCCTGTGGGGTGTGGTCCAGTGACTCAGCTAATCTCTGGCACGCCTTCCCCTCTGCTGCGCATGCTTCTCCCTGCGCCACTGTTGAGGATCCAGCCAGCACTTCTCTCCTTCGTCGCTGTCCACCTGTGGCTGCGGGGACGTGCTTGGCTCTGGGCCTATCTCTTGGCCTTCGGTGTCCTCCGGAGGCATTGCCAGAGAGGAGGGTCCTAGAGAGGGAGGCCTTGCCAACTCCTCTCCCTCACTGTCAGAGTCTGCATCTGTCGATAGCCCAGGCTCAGGCAATGGAGCCACAACAGAAACCCTTATACCATTTCAGACAAATGGTTGTTCAACTTCTTCTTGAAAAGCCTCCAGTTTTGGAGTATCCACAACTGGATATGGACAGATTCAACCATAGTTTCAACTGAGAAGTTATGACCATACTAGGACCAAGCCATATCAGAAAACACTAGGGAATTTGTCTCAAAGGTGTTTTTTCAAGTTATGAATGTTTTAGGACCTTTAGGACAAGCAAAGTCAACGGGGAAGCCAGACTCGCTTAAAAATCACGTCAATAACGTAACAGTTGCAGTGATTCAGTTAATAACTGTAGCAAGAAAGTAGGCAATTCACAATTGTCTTGCTTATCAACAGCAATTTGGGGCTCATTTATGGTCATAACCCAAGGACTACCTCTCTAAGATTTTAAGGTTAATATTTAAATCATTTCATTCTTATTCTTTGAATCCTAACACTTTGATGAATAGGGAGCACAGCCTTCCCCAAGCTTGGACCCTCCAAGTTTTAACGGTCCTTGGGCCACATCCGGCCTTTTGGCTGTTCCTATCCAGTCCACACCAAGTCAATCAGAAATTAGAAATCAAATGTAAATAAGTGTATGTCATGCATCCAATACAAGTGTAATGCTTTTATTTCGAAAGTGACTATTTTTTAAAAAAATTACATATATACGTGCATCAGAGGTGGTATTCAGCAGGTTCTGACCAGTTCTGGAGAACCGGTAGCAGAAATTTTGAGTAGTTCGGAGAACCAGCAAATACCTCTGACTGGCCCTGCCCACATCTATTCTCTGCCTCCCGAGCCCCAGCTGATCGGGAGGAAATGGGGATTTTGCAGTAACCTTCCCCTGGAGTAGAGAGGGAATGGAGATTTTACAGTATCCTTCTCCCGGAGTGGGGAGGAAATGGAGATTTTTTTAAAAAAAAATTTATATGCCGCCCTTCTCCGGAGACTCAGGGCGGCTTACAATGCGTTAAGCAATAGCCTTCATCCTTTTGTATATTTATACAAAGTCAGCTTATTGCCCCCACAATCTGGGTCCTCATTTCACCTACCTTTGAAAGGATGGAAGGCTGAGTCAACCTTGAGCCTGGTGGGATTTGAACTTGCAGTAATTGCAGGCAGCTGATGTTAATAACAGTGCATTAGTCCACTGTGCTACAGTATCCTTTCCCCGCCACGCCCACCAAGCCATGCCATGCCCACCAAGCCTTGCCCACAGAACTGGTAGTATTTTGAATCCTACCAGTGGTGTACATGTGTGCCCCTATGCTCCTTCATAGCCCTATTGATTCGGCTCTCCACAACAGTTCCAGCTTCTCATGCGGCCCCCTGCAAAAATTAATTGCCCACCCCTGCTTCAGAGTCCTTGGCCTGGTCTGGGAATTCTGGGAGTTGAAGTCCCAATGCAGCTAGAAGAAATAAGGCTGGGGCAGGAATCAGCAACCCGCAGCTCTGGAGCCGCATGTGGCTCTTTCATCCCTCTGCTGCGGCTCCCTGTCACTCAAAATACGTGTCACAACCGCCAATGTGTGATACCCACCAGCACGCGATTTATTGAACTTTTCGACCCCTGGTAGGCCAACCATGGATAAATTCCAAGAAAAGAAAAGCTTCAGAAGAAAACAGAAAGTTTAATTCAACTACATATGCTACTTTCAGGAAATAGTCAGGCATGGGAAGTGTATTGTGACTCCCGGTGTTTTCTTTTCTGTGGGAAACAGGTCCAAATGGCTCTTTTGAGTGTTTAAGATTGCCGACCCCTGGGCTGGGGAATAGCAACTTTACCTTTTGATAAAGGGGTCATTCCCCATTCACAAGCCCTCTTACCTTGCATCAACCGATCATACAATGCCTTTTGCTGGCTCTCCTCTGAGATAAACCGACGGCCTTCTGAAAAGCAAAAAAATGGGAAGGTCATCTATCCAACCCCTTCAATGAATCAGAATAAGCTTCAATGGCTAGAACCATTTCCTATGTTAGAGGAAAATCTGACACGGATTTCAATTTATTGGAACGATGCTTAAGGTATAAATTAAATAATGGATTGGTACAGGGCAGCGGTGAAATCCAAATTTTTTTACTACCGGTTCTGTGGGCGTGGCTTGGTGGGTGTGGCAGGGGAAGGATACTGCAAAATCCCCATTCCCTCCCCACTCCTGCGGGAAGGATATTGCAAAATCTCCATCCCCACCCCACTCTGGGGCCAGCCAGAGGTGGTATTTGCCGGTTCTCCGAACTATTCAAAATTTCCGCTGCTGGTTCTCCGAACTGCTCAAAATTTCCGCTACCGGTTCTCCAGAACCAGTGGTGGGTTGCCCCCGGTTCGGACTGGTTCTATAGAACCGGTAGTAAAACCAGTGGGAGGCTCCGCCCACTGATCTTGACATCATCAGAAGCGATCTGCGCATGCGCAAAAGCACGTCTCGTGCGTGAGCGAAGCAAGTGCGTGCACACGATCCCGTTGCGAACTGGTAGTAAAGGTAAGTAGAACTCACCCCTGTCCAGAACCTGTCAGAACCTGCTGGATTTCACCCCTGGTACAGGGGTTCCTCCACTTACAACCACAATTGAGCCCAAAATTTCTGTTGCTAAGTGACTATGGAGATTCTCGGCCATCCAGGTCATGGTTGTCCCAAGGATCCTTTTTCAAGAGGCAACTGGACTTTCTGGTTTTTCTTTGAAGACGTTTCTCTTCTCATCCAAGAAGCTTCTTCAGTTCTGAAGAAGTGTCTTGGATAAGAAGAGAAATGTCTTCAAACAGAATCCAGAAAGTCTAGTTGCCTTTTGAAAAAGCACCTTTGGGACGTGTTGCTAAGTGAGTTTTGCCCCATTTTACATCCTTTCTTGCCACAGTTGTTAAGTGAATCACTGCCGTTCTTAAGTTAGTAACACGGTTATTGAGTGAATCTGGCTCCCCCGTTGACTTTGCTTGTTGGAAAAGTTGATCGCATGACCCTGGGACACCGCAACCATCTTAAATATGAATCCGCTGCCAAGTGGACGACGTTTGATCCCCGGATTATGTGGATGCTGCAATGACCAGAAGCCTGGAAAAACAGTCGTAGGTCAGTTTTTTCAGTGCCGTTGTAACTTTGAACGGTCACTAAATGAACTGATGTAGGTCGAGGATTATACTGTACTTTATGAGCCCAGCCACTGCGCTTTGTAACCTGGGATGAGTGTAGCCGTTGCAAAACACGCTTTTGATTCCTACTGCCAACATTTGACTGTGGTAGAAAGTGCAAGGAAACCCCACTTCTGGCCTCTTTTTCTAGAGATGAATTGCCACTGGGACTTACGGGCGCCCTTCAAATACAGCATGGCCTGAGGAGTCCAGTTTCTTCTTTGGAAGTGACCCTTTTGGATGAAAACGAGGAAAAAAACACAGCCAGATGATGAACATAACCAACAAACCGTTGATAGTACACAAATTCAGCTTCAAGTTTTAGTTTCCCTATCCTTCCTGGTGGTTTTTCTCTGTCGCCCTTTCTCTACTTCTCTCTCTCTCCCTCTCTCTCCCTCTCTCCCTCTTTCCCATTCTCTCCCTCTCCCCCTCCCTCCCTCTCTTTCCCTCTCTCCCTCCCTCTCCCTCCCTCCCCCTTTCTTCCTC